TCAAAATGCCAACTTTCCATAATAAACGCTGAAATGCTCCTGGACCACCCGATATTGAACCCGAACATACGCCCAAGTCCGAAATTATCATACGAACCTATTGGAACCTTCAAATCCCGATTCCGTGGTCGTTTACTCAAAAGTCAAACCTTGGTCAACTCTTCCAACTTAAAGCTTCCGAATTGAGAATTTTCCATCCGAATCAACTCTGAACCTCCCAAAATTCAATTCTGACCACACGTACAAGTCATAAAACATGAAGTGAAGCTACTCAAGGCCTCAAACTGTCGAACAATGAGCTAGAACTCAAAATAACCGGTCAGGTCGTTACATTCTCCCCCACTTAAACATACATTTGTCCTCGAACGTGCCAAGAATCGTTCTGGAGTTGATCAAAATCACTTTTTAACACCTCGTGCACCTACCCTTGCCACCACAACCCACGTGAGTAGATTAGCTCGAGGTAGACTGAAGATCCTCCCTTTTACCTTAGCCAACAAGCCTTAGGACCAAATTCTAACATCCGAAATTCTCCACGAGACATGATTCTAACATACGAACACCATAACAATCTCAACCCACTGTACCAAATATGATCATGCACCTATGCTGAGATCACTCAATGCTCCGCACAATTCGTATGTCCATAATAACATCCTCCGACTATAATAGCTGCAAATTCATGAACTAGATGCCCGTAGTATACCTCATAACACATATAAGCATGGTATTAGCCCTCACAATACTGCAACGATGAAAGAGATGTGCAAGAACTCATAACCACCCGTCAACTCAATAACTCATGGAGTTTCTCCACTTGACAAGAACCGTTACCTCATTCTGAACTAAATAGTGACATTTTCTCTTTAATATACCTTATATAAATCCGATCGCATTGATTTCAGGTCCAATAACCATGTCTCTCCCAGTATAAGCTGCTCAGCCAATAAGCCACCTCAAATACTGACTAAAATCTCATATGACGTCATCAATGTGCCAACAAGCTATAACTCGAATATGATACATAAGGAAGAATGAACTCTAACAAAGAACTACACAGTCCGCATAACGAATAAAACGGCCAACATATGCTATGAACCTTTCTCAGAGATGAGAAATAAGACACACAAAAATAAGTATAGGGAACCGTACTCAACATCTCACTGTTGCGGCATGCAACCGGATCCACACATGATACCATTGCGGCATGCAACCCGATCCAAACATCATACTTGTGGCAGTGTGCCACCTGATCCACACATAATAATCAATAAGGAAATACCCATCGAGCCATAATGCTTATACCTACGAAATGCTCGAATATCGACCACAAGCACACCAAGTGCATAAATACGACCCTGGGGAGACGGATAGTGCCACGTGCTACAAAAACTCAAGCAAGAATAAGGTGTAATAAATGACCTACATCGAGAGAGCCACCTTGCTCATATAACACCACAAGCTTCACGGGATCACAACACATGTGCGAATAATCAAGCCATCTCACAACCCACATTGCATAATAGAGTATTACAAAGAATAGCTGACGACAGGGATAACATTCAACGCCCGAAGACTCCTCCATAAGCAATACTATGGTGAAAGAACACATCCGACCAGATGTAGAGAATATATTCACATTAGATCCACCTAAGAACCTCAAGCCGATTCTGATCATCCCATACTGGGCCAATAACCTTTCAAGGACCCACAATGACCATATTCATGACATATACAAGCAGTCGTCCAATCCGGAACAAACTCACACAGTCCACACCAAAAGGAATAGAGAGCCTCTCGGACATAACCTCTCCCATTGGCGACAATACCAAAATCTCCATACCTACCTTCAATCTCAACAATCAAATGACTAACATATCACACTTGTGCGATCTTCCCATGGGATATGCTCCCACAACATTCCGCACCCGATAGTAAAAACATGGGCATCAACCTTCCACATTTCAATACCCAACACTCCTTCCACAACACATACCCTTCTCAGGCCATCCGAAAAATAATGTCAGCATACTCTAAACATCTGAAATCCTTCCCCGCTCTTCGAGCTCGGGACATTCTCATCAACACCGAATCGCAACCTTGATCCTCAACTTTCAATTTCCATACCGCTCACTACACCTATCATGCTGCTACGCGAAAGTACAGGAATTTAATCACAACACCTGAACCACCAATAGAATAAACACTTCATCAACTAGAGCCCCTTTCACTCCACTTATTTCAGAAGAACAATTACAACACGCAACCAAATTACCAAAACCGCAGAAAATAAAAGCTCAAGTTGTGGTCTAAACCGCCATAACTCTTCCGAGATCCATATACACATAACTGAACCATCAAAATCATATTTCTCCAATTCAATCAAATCACGGAAGCTATCAAACCCGCACGTACAACCATGAAACACTTGTATTGCCTTACCACACCGAAGGAACCGATCATTTCCTTAACCATGCCGATCCAAACCACTACTAGGCTGACTCACCTTCTTCCAATTGTTTCTTGATTTGCCTTCAAAATCAATACCTCAATTCAATCATATAACAGATCCCAATCAGCACTCATCCCGAGTGACACGAATTGCGAGACCACGTCATTGATGGTAGGGTAGAAACTCATATTTTAGTCGTAGTATTGCACTCAAATTACTATATTTTACTTGTGTTGAATTTTAATTGGTAGTGTTTTTGCACTTATTGTGTGTTTTATGCCTTATATGAGTGATTTTGAGTTATGTATATATGGTGGAGCTAATTCGAGCTATTTTGAGCATTGAAGACTGAGTAGAAGCCCAAGTAATTAAGTCGGGATCACGTTCGGGGGTCGAAGACCAAGACTGGATGTCAAAAATTGGAGAAACAAAATAACTCTATGAAAAATGCACAGCCGCGCCGCATGGGGCGCCGCGAGGCAGTGCAAATTGTGCCCAGAATCGAAGTTTCAACATGTTCTGGAAATTTTCATAAGCGCACCACATGGTGCGGTGCGGTAGCCCAAAATTCTTAGAATACTTTTCATTCCGCTAAATAAGGGTACTTTTGTCCAAGGGTTATTTTGAACTTCGGCTTAAATGCACCAAAAACAACCTTTTTGAGTATCTTTTGACCTAGAGAAGATTGGAGAGCCACCAAGGGAGAAGATTCAAGAATTCATCAAGATTTCAATCTACAATCTGTGCAATACGAGAGTTTTTATCAAATCTTTAGAATTGATGTTTTCTTTGTTCTTAAATTTATTTGAGATATCCTACTCCATTGTTATGGAGTAATTTCCATTTGGGTGTTGATAGATATGGTGATTCAATAACTTGATTAGGGATTCGATTCTTTAGACTTGCTAGAATTAATTGATGGAGCTTAACTTGTATTGTGGAGTTATTTAGTATTTTACTTAACCAAAAGAGAAGTTTGATATTAAATTTCTGCACATCTTATGCTCTACTTTAAATTCATGATTCAAATAGGTAATCGAAGGAGCCTCGTGAATTATTGATTGAACTAGAAAATAGGGAATATTCGTGAGAAATTACCCTTTAGAACATAAATATTATTTTTATTCTTACAATTGTTTACTATGCTTATATTGGGTTAATTACTGAAACTAGTATTTAATCGAAAGAGGTATATTAGCTTCAAGTGTAATATGATAATCGGTTGAACTCGTTAGAATCGATCGTATTATAGAGTGAATTAACTCAAGAATTAGATCCCAAGTCAGTTATCGTGCACCTATCAAGTCAATTACCTTTATTTTTCTCATAAATATTTCTTTGTGCTCACTTACTCTTTTTAGTGATCAAGTGTTATTTGCTTGAACTTAAATAGTTTTTCATAGGAATAGATATCCAATCAAGTGTTAATTTTCCTGGATAGTAATCAACTGAAGATTATTCAAGCACTGTTTGATTAGCGAGCACAATTTAAGTGTTTATTTTGCGCTCGTCCAATTTTGGCGTTGTTGTCGCGGATTGGCAATCGATAGTGTGAAAATAATTTTTAGTACTAATTCAGGAACCAATTTTTACTTTAATGTATTCACATTTTTCTCACTTGCGCCCAGGGTACTAATTTTGATTTCTCTGGTGTATGACTCGATCCTTTTCAAGGGAAGTGATACTATACAAACCAGAGTTGGAAAAATACCTGCGACATATGAGAAAGGAAAGAGAATTAACTAAAAAATTGTTGGGACAAACTTCAACTCAAGATACCATGGCAAATGAAGACAATGAAGGAGTAAACTTACCTGCAAGGGAGGAAGCACAACAAAAAGCTGCACGGATGATTGCTGATGAAATAGTCGACCTAAATGGGGGTCGAAGATTCAATCTAAACCGACCTTTGGTCAAAGACCAGTTCGAGAATGCAATACCCCGACCTGGAAGATCTTTGGGTGACTATGATAGGCCTGTATATAATCAAGGAATGTCAAGTATCAGACCTCCACCCATAGCAGCAAACAACTTCGAATTGAAGCAAGGCTTGCTTCAAACTATCCAAAATAATTGCACTTTCAGAGGGAAGATGAACGAAGATCCTAATACTCACTTTATGGACTTCGACGATATCATGAACACTTATCAATACAATGGAGTATCAAAGGATGCTATCTACTTAAGGACATTTCCCTTTTCACTGAAAGATGACACGAAGCAATGTCTTCGCAGCTTACCCGTAGGTTCTATAAGGACATGGGAAGATATGACCAAGAAGTTTCTTGACAAATACTTTTCGGCTGCAAAAATAGGAAAGTTCATAAGGAAAATTCATAATTTCTGTCAGAAGGAGACAGAAACGATTTTTGAAGCTTGGGAACGATTCAAGGAGATAGTCAGGAAGTGTCAGCATAATGGAATTGATTTGTGGATGCAACTCCAGGATTTTTAGGATGGACTGACACCGTCCTCGCGAGAACTCTGAATACTGCATGTGGAGGTCCAATAATTAAGAAAATACCGGAGGAGGTTGTCTTAATCCTTGATGATATTTGAGGATGCTAACCAGTGGCCGGCTGAGACTAATGACAGAAGAAAATCAGTTGGGGTTCACCAGGTGGACTCTAACACATCTATGCAATCCCAGATAGACACCATGGCTAAAGAGATAAGAAAGCTTGCATTAGCTAAGGTACAAAGTGAGCCGCAAACAACATGTGACTTCTGTTGATTGGGACACCTTACACACGAGTGTCAAGCATCAACTGAGGAAGTCAACGTAATGGGGAACTTTAATAGAGAAAACTACCAAGGTGGGAACAACTATAATTCTATGGGTCAAAGATATCCAAGTTTATCGTGGAGTTTACCTAGAAGAAGCCTGAATTCATGGCAGCAAAATAATCCCAGACCTTAGGATCAAGGATCGCCAGGATTCCAAAACCAACAGAGGCAGGAATACCAGCCACAACAGCCAAATCAGACTCCTGGGACTTTTCCCTCTGACACTAAAAAGAACCCAAAAGAAACAATCAAAGTTGTATCTCTAAGAAGTGGCAAAACATTGGCTGATCCAGTGGTGAAAGCTAGACCCGAGATGGTGTGCAAGCAGGCGGAGACACAGTAGAAAAAGAAAGTGAAGAGCAGAAAGGCCAGGGTAGTGGGGTACGGAAGGAGATTGAAGAAAGTAGACATATGCCAGCTCTACCATTTCCCCAAACAATGAAGCGGGAAAAACTTGACAAATATTTCGGTCGATTCTTGGAAATGCTCAAGCAAATCTATGTGAACATTCCCTTCATGGAGGTACTCACTCAGATGCCTGCTTATGCAAAGTTCTTGAAGGAAATCTTATCTAGCAAGAGAAAATTGGAAAAGACAACCGTGGTCAAGTTGAATGCCCACTGCAGTGCCATATTACCAAATAAAATTCCCCAAAAGTGTGGTGACCCAGGAAGCTTTACCATACCATGCTCGTTGTGGAGTGGAAAATTCGATAAGGCCCTCTGCAATTTTAGTGCGTCCATAAAGCTTATGCCTCTGTCTGTATTCATAAAACTGGAAGGTGTGCTTGGGGTGATCAAATCAATATCAGTATCTCTACAACTGGTTGACCAGACTACCATTTTGCCTGAGGGAATCATCGAGCATATTCTAGTACGGGTGGACAAATTTGTGTTCCCTGTAGACTTTATTGTGGTGGATATGGAGGTGAACAAGGAAGTGCCTCTAATTCTGGGGAGGCCATTCTTATGTACATGCAAAGCTATCCTAGATATCTATGAAGGGAATCTCATGCTCAGAGTGGGTAACGAAAAAGTAGTGTTCCAGATGAAGAGGATGATGAAATACCCCCAGCGATGAGGCATCCACCTACTCGTGTTTCAAGTTGGATGTGGTTGAAGAATTGGCTAAAAAGTACAAGTTTGATAATCTGGTGGAGGATAATCTCGAGAGGTGTGTTACTCAGTCTGGTACAATGTAGGATAAAGATCCTACAATAAAGAAAGAGGCTGAAGCACTTGAAATCGAGGACCAAGCGGTCGATGAGGAGAGATTAAAAGAGGAGGCTTCTAAACATAATGTGGAACTCAAAGTCCTCCCCACTTACTTAAAATATGCTTTTCTTGATACTCACAATTTTTCTGTGATTATTTATGCTGATTTGATAGGTACACAGAAGCGAAAGCTGGTGGAGCTACTAAAGAAGCACAAGAAAGCCATTGGCTGAAGTATAACTGATATTCAAGGAATCAGTCCAGCAATTTGCATGCATAAAATTCTGTTGGAAGAAAATAGCAAACTAGTTTTACAGCCCCAACGCAAGTTGAATAAAAATTTGGAGAAGGTAGTGCACAAGGAGATCATCAAATTACTGGATGCGGGAGTGATTTTTCCCATCTCCGATAGCCAGTGGATTAGTCCAATACAAGTTGTACCTAAGAAGGGCGGCATGACAGTGGTGAGAAATGAAGATAATGAATTGATCCCCACAAGAACAGTCACTGGGTGGAGAATGTGCATTAATTATAGAAGGCTGAATGATGCAACAAGGACCACTTTCCACTCCCCTTTATTGATCAAATGCTAGAGAAAGTGGCTGGACATGGATGCTACTGCTTCTTGGATGGGTACTCAGGCTACAATCAGATACCCATTGCCCCAGAAGATGTTGATAAAACCACATTCATGTGCCCGTCAGGTATTTTTGCTTACAGGAGAATGTCATTTGGGTTGTGTGATGCACCTGCCACTTTTCAGAGGTGCATGATGTTTATATTCTCTGACTTAAATGGGAAGTGTCTAGAAGTATTCATGGATGATTTAACCCTCTTTGGTGATGACTTTGAAGACTACTTGAAGAATTTAAATCTCGTGCTTGAACGTTGTGAAGCCACGCACTTGGTTCTTAACTGGGAGAAGTGTCACTCCATGGTGAAAGAAGGAATTGTCTTGGGCCACAAAGTAACTGCACATGAAATTGAAGTTGACAGAGACAAGGTGGACGTAATTGCTAGGCTCCCTCCACCAACTTCTGTGAAAGGCACAAGGAGTTTTTTGGGACATGCTGGATTCTATATGAGGTTCATCAAAAACTTCTCCAGCATTACCAAACCATTAACAACATTGCTAGTAAAGGATGCCAAGTTTGTTTTCAATGTGGAATGCTTAAGAGCATTCGAATTGATAAAGGAAAAGCTGGTAAGTTCTCCTATTATGGTGACACCTGAATGGAGCCAGCCATTTGAAATAATGTATGATGCCAGTGGTGTACTTGTGGGGGCAGTTTTAGGTCAAAGAAAAGATAAAATGTTTTGACCAATTTACTACGCCAGCAGGACGTTGAATGATGATCAAGTTAACTATGTCACTACAGAGAAAGATTTCTTTGTTGTGGTCTTTGCTTTTGACAAGCTTATATCATACCTGGTGGGGAGCAAGGTGGTTGTACACATGGATTTGTCAGGCTTTAAATATCTGTTGAGTAAGAAGGAGTCCAAGTCGCGTCTGATGCGGTGGGTCTTATCTCTCCAAGAGTTTGACTTGGAGATTAAAGATAGGAGGAGCACATAAAATCAAGTTGCTGATTATCTATATCGATTTGAGAAACCTCCAGTTGAAACAGTCGACGTGAGAGAAGAGTTCCCTGATGAGCAGATTTTCTCCATTATTGTAGTGTCCGAAACACCACCTTGGTATGCTGATGTAGCAATTTTTTAGCCAGCGGATGGTTACCTCGAGACCTCTCTCGTGATCAAAGAAGGAAGCTCCAAGGTGAGGTAAATATTTATTTTTGGAATGATCCTCTCTTATTAAAACTGTGTGTAGATGGTGTGATTCGAAGGTGTGTACCTGAAGGAGAAATGGAAAGCATTGTTTCTCATTGCCATGATGGAGCAGCTGGAGAAAACTACGGTGGAAATCGCATTGCAGCAAAGGTCATAGAAGTCGGTTTCTATTGGACTACTTTGTACAAAGACACTCGGACATATGTAGCTGCATGCGACAAGTGTCAAAGGCCTGGTAACATCAGCAAAAGGGATGAGATGACACTAAACTCCATTCTGGTATGTGAAATGTTTTATGTTTGGGGAATTAACTTCATGGGTCCGTTTCCATTGTCTTTTTCACAGGAATATATCCTAGTAGCCGTTGATTACGTCTCTAAATGGGTCGAAGCAATTCCTACTAGGACCAATGATGCTCGGGTGGTATCTGAGTTCTTACTAAAAAATATCTTTACCCGATTCGGGACACCTCAAGTGATTATTAGCGACAATGTGTCACACTTTATGAACAAATAATTTGCCGCACTACTGTCCAAGTACGAGGTCACACAAAAAATAGGAACCCCATACCATGCCTAAACTAGTGGGCAAGTTGAAGTGGCTAGCCGTGAAATAAAATGAATTCTTGAAAAGACGGTTAGTGCTTCTCATAAGGATTGGTCTGTAAAAGTGGAGGAAGCTCTATGAGCGTATAGAACTGCATTCAAAACAACCATAGGGACTTCACCATTCAAATTAGTCTATGGAAAATCGTATCATCTACTTGTTGAGATAGAACATAAAGCTTACTGGGCTATTAAGATGCTTAATATCGATCTTAGTCTTGCAAGCAAACACAGGTTGACGCAGATGAACAAATTAGAGGAGTTTAGACTCGACGCATATGAAAATGCGCGTATCTTTAAAGACAAGACCAAGAGGTGGCATGATTGTCTGATTAAGCCAAGGGAGTTTCATAAAGAAGACAAAGTCTTATTATACAATAGTAGACTTAGATTGTTACCCGAAAAATTCAAATCAAGATGGACAGGTCCGTATGTGGTGAAATATGTCTCACCGTACGACGCCATTGAAATTCAGGATGAAGGAGGGAATGAAAGCTTTAAGGTGAATAGGCATAGGTTAAAATAGTACGTTGTTGAAGGATTTGACAAATAATCCTCTAGCATCGTGATCAATTGAGCCTAAGTGACAGAGTCAAGCTGACGACTATAACTCAGAACTGCGTCTAACCAATTTTCTTGCTTTTGTAGAATAGTTAGACAAATGTTTTGCAATATTTTCAATGTTGGTACTTGTTTGGGCAGGTATAAGCATAAATTGAACAGAAAATAAGTACATAATAGAGTCGGGGTGCAACCCGTGGCCTAAAACTCAAAATATTTCTGGAACTCTAAGAAATTTGGCCTAGCACGCCGCATAGGGCGACGCGCCAGGCCAAAATGGCTGCTTATCTCCTTTTTCATAACGAATTGGAATAACACACTACCACGCTGCATGGGGCACCGCACCTAGCGATGCGGTAGCACAAAATTGTTAAATTTTGTTTTGTTTTATTTGCTTTAATAACCGTATCCCCTCCCCCTTTTCTCATATCTTTCATACTCTACCCATTCACCTCTCTCTCACACACATTCCAAAACCCTATATCTTCCCCAATTCCTCCATTTTTTCAGTTTCTTCTCATCTACATCAATTGTAAAGGTAAGTCCTTCTTCTCATCTCTTTTCTTATAGTGGTAATCTAAGTTGTTTGAGTTAATACCCTAACCCTAGCTAATTTTTCAAATTCTTTTAGTTAATGTTCATCTTATGGATGGATTGCTTACATAAACTTGTGTGTTTTTCATTGTTCTTATAATTAGAGGTAATCTTTTTGTTGTGAGATTTGATGGTGCTTAAAAAACAAAATTTTCTCTGTGATGGGGTTTAGTGTGGTGGTCAATATGGCCGAAAATTGTTTTTTTTTGGGTGGTGTCTTGCTATTGTCACCCTTTGGTGGTGGTGTGATTGTTGTAGGGTAGTTGATTGATGTATTTAAGGAGTGACCTTTCAATAATCGGAGTTGCAATAGTGATGTATATTTGCTGCATATCTTGTGTTTTGATGAAATGCCTCAAGGACAATTGAGCTTAATTTGGGGGGATTATTATGAGAAATATTGTAAGGCTTGATAATAAGAGTGGAGAGGGAGGTGTTCGTGTTTATTTATGTTAATCTTTAACATGTTAGCCTTTGTGTGTCTTGTGTAGTGATGTTTTTCAAATTTTGTAGTAATCAATTAGTATAACTTCTTAAGCAACTAGGAAAGTGTTGTGTGTTTGTATATGGGCTAGCATAGTCTGTGGCAATGTAGTCTCACTATCATGAGTGGTAAGTGTGGGGTTTGTCGGAAAGGCATTTTGTGTTTTAAAAAGGGGTAGTCTAAGTTCCCGATATACATTGTACTTGTGAACATGCCAAAATATATATGTGCAGGGTGGTTACCTTGTTTGGTCTTATTTTGCTTCAAGAATTTTGGCTAATGTTGTTCGTCTTGTGCAGGTATAATGTCTCGACTCCCTAGCAAACATTCTAACATAGGTTCCTCAGAAACTGCCGCTAGTAGCCAGCAAGGAGGTAGGCGGGCGCACAT